TTATTTTATTTTTAAATATATATACTCAAAAAGAAAATCTATCATCTCCCATATTTTATTTTAACGTACATTTTGATGTTTTAAAGTCAACATGATACGTATTTAAAGAAATACATATTGCTTCTGCTCTTGAATCCATTTTTATCTTTTTTTTAAGACTGTCATATACCTCTGTCTCGGTGTTTGAAGTATCATCTTATGAAAAATAATCTATCCAATCGATATTTTACTTCTTGTAATATTTTTGTTCCGTTGACGTTACCCTAGAGGGGACTGAAAGTTCGACGAGACATTGTTTAAAAGGCAGAAATGTGAAGATGTCACAAAATAATATTTAAAAAAGCTAGAAAAGTATTCTCTTTTTTAGATAGATATGATATACTTATCTGAAGAAAAATCTCATTTTCCTAATGGAAAGTTTAGGGTTATAAGTTATTTTTTCTTCTTGTAGATCATTCTTGTATCTAACTAATTTTCTATATTAACTTGTATGTAACTTATCATCGTAACAGGTTCTTAGTTCAATAAATAACGATAAAATAAGAAAGATTTGCAATGTAAGAAAGCATGATTTTTGAAATATAAATTGATAAGCGAATAAATATTAATATTTGCTCCTTTTCGTTTTATTTTCAATGAAGGAAAACTAAAACGTAACTATTAAAAATATCAGAGAGGATAATAAGCTAAAACTACAATAGATCTTTTCACAAAACGAATTTTGCGAGGTTGCCATTCGATTCAACGTAACTATTTCGTTACGAGGGCCGTATTTAGTTATTTTCATAGATATAAAGGCCGATTATATCCCCTATATTAGTCCCTGTTAACATAGGTACACACTGTATACAAGTGCCGTATTTAGCCGGCACTCGTATACAGCGCAGAAGTTACTCAGAAAACTGTTTGCCCTGTTTTAAATTTATAATACTAAATCAAATTACTAAGAAATTTTTTAAATGTTCCAAATTGTATTTTTTTTTCTTTTACATACCCGGCGTTGACCCAATTTTGAGTTCAAAACTATCAATGTTCAACTCCGTATCCTTGTGATTGTGAACCCAGTCCAGAAGACACGGAAGCTTCTAGAGCAAGCATTGGCACAAACTTGACTTCATGAAAATTACCAGCATTTGTGTTACACGGAGAGAAAAACCATGAAGACTCCTATGGCTAGCCTGAAGGAAAGGGAATTCTAACCCAAGATTCGTCACTCACTGAGGATATTTTACGTCAGCTCGGTGGTCGGTGAGAGCCGGAAAGCAAAATTCGTATCAACCAGCCATCACTGGGATGCAAACCTGGGTTACCTCATTTGAAGGCGAACGCTCTATCCCTTGCACCACGGCGACTTCGTATATATTGTTGTGAAACACTTAAGTAAGAAAATCCGATTATCAGCTTGCTGACATACAATGGGCATGATTCGCGGCATGGTGCACCATTCAGTAGCGTCACTTCAGTGTTCGTGGTAGAGCGAACGGCCGTAACGAAAGGGTTACTACTATATCTTATTCTATAAACAGCGTTGGAGAACCAACCCGTTTTTAAGTTTACGTCTATCAATCTTCAACTTCCTTTGTTTGTAATTTTGAAACCATCCCTGAAGACAAGTGAACTCCTAGTTCAAGCATTAGGGCAAACTAGACTTCATGAAGAGCTTTTGGTTGAACTAACAAACATCTGTAATACATGGAGAAGAAAAAAACAATAACTTCCCCTAGTCATCCCGAAAACAAGGAGACCGTGATCAGATTCTAAACCATGATCTATCTACCGCTGAGGGTATTTTTGTCGGCCCTGTGATCGGAGCGAGCCGGGAGTAAAATTCGTTTCAACTGGCCGTAGCAAGATACGAACTTGGTGATATCACGTCAATGGGAAGCGAGCGGTCTGTCCCCTGATCCACAGCGACTCGACTGGTTGATATGAATACTACTCCCGGCTCATTTTTCCCGAATTTTTTGACTTCCATTATGACAAATGGCAATATGTAATATCTATTTGTAGTTCGTTGAGAAACGTAACGATGAACAATATTTTTCAATCTCAAATACAATTAGTCAAAATTGGAAAGCTTGAATTGCAACGGGTTCGAACTGTTGAGAGAGTTTGAAACAGACATGGGTGAGATTTTATTGAAATTTAATGTGATATATATTATCACTAAATAGAGTCTCGGTGCTGCCATCTAGTGTGGCAGAAACTAGACTCCCAAATTAACATGACCAACTGTATCTCACCCATTGTGGTGGTCCTGAAAGAGTGGATACCACCTCTGGAGAACGCACTAGATCTACTCATCGGCAAGACAGATTGTGCAGCTCATTGGAAATAAATAAAAATATTATCACTAAATAAAAAATTCAAATATATTTTATCTCTAGCTTATTATTTTATTCTCTAACTTTTTTTTTAAATATATCAAATTTCTAAAATTAACCTAGAATTTTGCAATTTACTAACTAAAATACGAATGGTTAACAAAATTAGTTTTTTTTTCTTAGTTGCCATTGAAGAATTTAGCGCCAATCGCGAATAATTTTCTCACAAACTTTAAAAAGACCTTTCATTTTTTTCCCCGCCAAGTTCAGGTCACTGATCTAATGTCAATGCCTTTAGTCGTGAAATTTAAGTTAAGTCGCTTTTCGGGAAATTGCAGTTTTTCAAGTTTATTCAACTCAGAAAAAAAAAGCGGATCAATCTACCATTTTTTCCTTTTCAAAGTCACAAAAGCCTGTATTCAAGAGAATTCTTTCCAATTTCTCACTTCTCACTATATTTTTCACTTAAAGTTAGTCTTTCGTAATCTGATACAATAAAATAAATAAAAAGTAAAAGTTAAACATTTTGACTCATTTACTAAAATTCTCTTAAAAAATTTAGAACTAAAATGTTTTTTACAACAGCAAATAAAAACAAAGAATTTGATATTTCTCATGTTATAATTTAGTTAAGTAAAATTTTAAGTAGAAACTAAAAACAAAATAAATTAAATTTGTAAAGTGAAGGAATATTAATATAAAAAAACGCAATTTTTATGAATAGTTTTGATTATTTTACCATACTTCTTGTTGTACCATATAATGTAAATAAAAATAATTGCTATTTCCGACATTGATTCTGAAAATTAGTCATTTTATAATATAGTGGCATCTATATTTAACGGAGCTCTACTTAACAATAATCTTTATATAAAGACGATATTTTACGGTCTCTGTTTCATCATGGCAGAAAAATCACTATTTAAGGACTACTGTGTCTGTAAGAACGTCCATATCTCTGCGGACGATTGTGTCTCCATTTTAGGATGACTGTGTCTCTGTTTACGAACGAAATTTTTATTAACGAACGAAACATTTTATTTTATCTCAAGTTTGATTATATTGAGGTTGAGAAAGACGAGAAAGATGTTCAATTTACGGGATCTCTTTAACTGGGATGAAGATTTAACAACTAGTTTATGAGATGTTGATGAAATTTATGAAAACATTATTAACGCGTTGAATGCCATGGGGGAAACCGGCACTGAGTTTGCTCGTAGCGCCATGAGGGTCACCGGTGACCGGCATTGAGTTTGTTTGTAGCACCACGGGGGTCACCGGTGACCGGCGAAGCCAAGATTATTAGAAACACATAATTCGAGTAAAGTTTTAATGCTTTTAACTTTTTTATATTATAATCGTTACTAAAATGCTTTGAAGAAATTAATGCAATACATACTGAGAAAATAATTTTGGCCAGAATCATTGTACAAGCCTATAGAAAATCATTTTACAAGCCATGTAAAATTAGCTTGGCATTCAACGTGTTAAAGAAAATGATGCAGGAAAAAAAATGACATTGAAAATTTTATAAAAATTTCGTTCTCGTAGTATTTGACATTAGTTTTATTCTATTTTATTCTTATATTAGCGTAAACGTAATTAAAATAAAAAATATAATGAAAAAATAATAATTTTTGAATATGCTAAATTGTTCCAAAATTGATAATCCTAACCCTGGAAAAAAATTTCTAAACCCAATTTATACACAAATTTCTTTTCTTTTTCACAAACTAACTATTTTTTAGAGTCCTTGCCGAGTCATTAAACAGAGAGCTAACTAATTTTAATCACCTGTTAACACAGGTGATTAAAATTTGGCACTTAAATTTTAAAAGTGACGAACTCTAAATAAAAGTTGAACTATATCTTCTTTATAACTGATACTTTTTAATACTTAACTTCTCCGTCTCAAAATTTAAATGTATTTTAAAAAGTACGCAATTAAAATTTAAATTCTTAAATCCTATTTTCAATAAACTCCTCCTCAAGTTAGCAATGTTTTTCAGCAACTAAACATGACGTCACTTCGAAATGCACTTCATTACTTTTACTCTGCTTAGTGTGCATATTATATATGTTCTAACGTGTTCATATTGAACAACGTATTTTATTATTCTTTGTTAACAAGGTATTTACTACACTGCAGTTTAATTCAATTTATAGTGCTAGTTCACTTTCTTAGAGTTCTTAACTTGCAGAATGGAAAATGCATTGTCAATATTTAGAGCTAACACGAAATTAAAATCCATTTTCACGCTCTTTGACTACGAATTGAACATTTTTTACACCTAATTACGAAATACATTTAGCAGTAAACTATTTCATAAGAAAATATTTTCAATCGTATTAATATAGGATCTGATCATTTGTAAATTATATGAAGTTAAGTATTTTTTATGTAATTTACAAATGAACGGAAAATTTTCGAATATAAATAATTCTAATTTTCATAATAATAAATATAGTAATAATTATCATAATAATTATTATTCTTGTAAATCAAAAAATTATAATAATAATAATTATTGTAATTTTTTCCAATTATAAATATAATAGTTATTATAATTTATAATTATTATTGTAATTTTGATGTAATTAACTACATGTCTTTCTAAGCCAAAGGAGATAGTGATTAGAATACAGATTAAAGATTTAGGATACAAAGAATTAGATCAACAGTGTTTATTAAAAAATATCAACAAACTATAAATAACAAAAAATAAATTATTATTTTAACTAAACAAATTTTAAGAACAGTGGGTTTGTGCAAATCTAATATCTTCCTCTAAATCATTCCTCATTCGCTGCTTCGATGCAAACCTAGACATTTTATTTTGCTTTAGTTCATCAACTACGTAACACCATTTCTTATCCTTTTCTCTGAGCACAAAGTTCTGATGTTTCTCCAGCTGTTTTTTTCCGGGCAAAATTGTATGAAGCATTGGTAACTTATGAGCATTGAACCAATGGGCCCACAGGAAACAACTATTTTCATTGTCCATGTTCTGAACTTCTAACCATCTAATTTCCGTAACTGCGTCTTTATTTTTAAATTTACCTCTATTGTGAGCATCAAGATTAAGCAGGCTATTCTTGTGGCCTCTGATTGCAGCATCAAGACATTTAAATTTTGAGTTAGAAGAATCTAAGTAATCGAAGGCAATTTCGACAACTTCACGCGTTTTTCCACATTTCACAGAAAGTTGGTACAGACCTGGAGTTTTAGGCGCCAAGTTATTCTTTACGACATTATCTAGTGATTCCCAACTGCTGAAAGCGAAATTCGAATCACAAACCTCGCACGGTTTCTCAAAATCACATTCCTTCACGTTTTCAACCAATCTCTTTGGAAGAGTGTTTTTGGGTTTTCGCCAAGTTGCTTCCTTCTTAGGGTAGCACCACTTTTGTATCTTTTCCGAAAAGGCAAAATGTCCACTTTGTTCGACGATGTTCATTCCAAGCCAATTGCTCATGTTTTTAGGCTTAATTCCATTGTTAAACCAATGAGCACAGAGACTGGTAACATCTTTATCATCTTTTGGCTTACAGGTCATCCATCGACAAAGAATGACAGATTTAGTAACTTTCGACTTTTTGTCTGCAACAAGTTCTTTTTCGTTTTCAATACACCTAAAAGCTTTTCTTTGAATGTCGGTCAGATCAAGAACGATGTTTTGCACTTCGATGGTGTTTTTGTTCTTCAGAGCTACCATGAAGATTCCGGGTTTGTTGGGGATATTCTCCAAGACTTGTTCGCTTGGCTCCACCCAATTGCCGAATCTTTTATTACAGAACTCGCATTCGCTGGTAAAACCTCTACAAGGCTCTACTGGGACATCAACTTCTCCTTTTTTAGAGACTATCACTTCTTTAAACAGACTGTCGCGTTCTATAAAGAAAAACACAAAGTTAATTACTACTATCCATCGGGAGAAATGTAATAATTCAGTGAAAAAGAACCTATGCGCCACCACTACAATAAAAGATGGTGAACTGAACCAGAAATTATCTATAACTATATATTAAATGGTTGTGGGAAGACGATAGTGAGACAACAGAAACCTTCTATTTGCTGTAGTATGAGTACGGTCGGTGCAGGACTCATAATTAACTGTGGTTCGTTGATCCTGGACCACTAAAATTTTGAACTGTCATAAAATAAATAATAAGTGGTCCTATGCTGGATGGTATCACTGTTTTTGTATAATAAATAATTTTCCTATGTGAGTCTATGTAAATAGTACTAAATTAGGGAAATGTACTGCAGTAGATTCGCTTTCTACAAGAGAACTCACAGGTTCTAGGACCCCGGAGTGTACCTGTTATATGTCCTTTCTTTATAAGGTAGGGGTTAAAATATTTACCGTACAGTGCAGAAACAATAATAAATAATTTGAAAAAATATTAAAAAATTAATCAATTTAGTGCTGTATAGAAAAAGAACTTAAAACAGTCATAGAAGCTCTATTGAATACAGGAACTTTTCGTTTAGTGGAAAATGCTTTGCAAGCTCATACATTTTTTAAATTTTAAAATTTATTACAAAGCATATTTTATGCACAAATAATCAAAAGCAATATAATTTTTTTTTTGTAAAAAAGTACATTTTAATAAATGTTTATCTTATGAATGACATTCTAAAACATTTTCACATTTTAAAATATATACCTAACTTAAAGCTAATATTCATAAAACGAAATATTTCAAAGCATTAAGGAGTGCTGTAAAATTTTTAATTCTTTTCATTTTTATATATTTTAACCTTATGCTCAATCACAAACATTTTCAAACAATTCTATATTACCAGAATTTTTAGTGGAAAACCTCTCATTCCACAATTTTTTTTTAATTCCATAAGTGCAGGTATAAAAATCTGCGTTAAGATTTCACTTTGTTCATTATTGGAATACTGAAAATTCCATAAACATTATATGATGTCATTTTTAAAATAATAGAATTTATTACAAACCAAGTACTAATGTGATTTTGAAAACTGAAACATCTTAATACAGCAATACATTTAGAATAAATTTTATAGCTATAAAAATCAATAAAAAGTAATCAATTAAAATTTTAGTAAATTTTTAAACCAATAATTTCGTGGCAATAAAATATGTAATTCAAGCATTGAATTTCTTAAAACAATTTTCATCTTTTTCGCGATATTTTGATTTTAATGGGACGAAAATAAATGGAATGAAGTAAAAATAAATAACTACTTTTATCATGTAATTAATATTATATTTCCTCACCCAAAATAACACGTTTTAGTGAATAATATGCTATTTTTATAACGATTGTAACAGCTATGTTACGTAAAGTTGTATCCATCTTTAATAAGCATTCTCAATGTTGATTATGAAAATGTCCCTATGAACAAAAGTCACAGTTTTGTAAAAATGAAAATTATTTGTGATCTAATTTTTAAAAGACGGAAAAGTAAATCCAACGCTACATTGTTTAAAAACATTAAAAAAATTGCAATAATTGAGAATTATTTAATGTTTTAAATGATTTTCAGGCAGGTAAAAAAAAATCTCGCCAAATTAAAGTTTAAAATAAAAATAAAGTTTAAATCATTTTTAAATACTTAAACTAATACTTTACTGCAAGATAATTTATAAAGTTTAAATCTAAAGGTTTGCTTCCAGTTTAAGGCCCCTAAATAGCATTTTTTTTTTTTAACTTTGCGAATTAATTTCGAAAAACCTACATAAAAAAGAACAACACAGTAAAATTTTCCTAAAATGAAGAGAATTGATTGCTTTTTTCGATAGATTATTCTTTTTACGTAATTATACCAAATATTGAATTGATTTTCGTAAAGAGTGAAAAGTTGCAGCATAATGCGCGAAGCAGGGATCTCTGAAACATGCATATACAAGTGAACTTGTGCACTCAGTTGATTGATGGATTTGCTCACTTCTATTAAAACATTTTAGAAAAATACTATCATTTTAACTATTTTATTGAAAGGATTTGTTCAAATTATGTAAGAAAAAGAATTATTGGCACTTGCAGTACAAATAATTAAATTATAACTTATTTAGATGTAATAATTTTAAAGAAGATTGCAAAGAGTAATTAACAGTTTTGAAACAATTAGAAATAAATGTAGGTCCAGCAGCCAAAGAATATGTTCAAAATGAAGATGATCGCAGAATTTCGGCTGCTACTCTACAAGCATGTGAGACGTCTCGTGGGAGAAAATCGACAAGAAAAAAAGGCTAAAATTGATATAATAAATGTAATAATATAATAGTTGAAAAAAATAGATATAATTATTGATATAATAAGATTGTAATAATAAACGTTTGCATATGCAAGGAAAAAAAACAGCTTAAGAGGAAAATTTAACGAGAAAAAAATAGAAAGCGCTTCTAAGAAATTGTACTTTAAGAATAAATTAATATAATTAAAAATAAAATGCTGATTCTAGAGTCTAACTTTGTTAGGTGGTAAGTATTTAACTTCTATCCTGGTAAATATTTAACTAGCAATATCTAACTAGGTAAATATCTAATTTTGTTAGAAGGGAGAACTCTAGCTGATTCGAACGATTGAATTTATCCAGTCAAATATAAGATTGGAAGAATATTTTATCAAAATATTTCTTGACAAATTGTAATTAATTTACTATGGCATACCCTTCAACATTTGATATTAAAAAAAATATTAAAAAAATTCTCGTGAATGTGAACAGAAGCAATAAGTTTTCAAATAAATCGAATTTTCATAAAATTCTTATCACAATTTAAAAACGTAGACCATTTGTCTATCTTACCTATTTAAAAATGTAATTAAATTATTTATAAGTAGTAGTGGGGAAAAAAAAGTCTTTAAATTAATTCTAACTTAAAAATTTTATTCGAATTAATTAAAAGTATTTAAGTAATTTTCTGTATTTTATTTAATTCTAAATGAATACATTAATTATACTTGATGCGTTAATTATACTTGCCATGAGCTGATTTTTTTTTTCTTTTTATAATAATTTTCCGGCGTAATATATTTATAATTATTTTCTTATGCTGCTTATTTTTTTTTATAATAATTTCATGTTAAACCTCGTTGCTACTTTAATTTTAAATTTTCGATCTGAAACTTGGAAGAAATTAGTTAAGCAGATTCATGCACCTTCTAGCCGATTGTTCTCTAATTAGGAATCGTGAGTTTGGAGTGGATTTGAACACTTGATTTACTTGGCGTCGTAATAACCAAAATGCATCTCTTCCTTTTACCTTGTAAATTTCATTTGAATTTTTTACATGAAAGATTGATATTTTTTTTCATTCTTCTTTTTATTTATACACAGTAGAAATAATTTAAATCAATAGCATTTTGTAAAAAAAAAAATGGAATGGGTGTAATAAGCGCAAGATCGATAGGGGGTCTAATATGAGACATTAAAAATTAAGTTAAGTTTTTTCTCAATTTTTTAGAGAAAAATATATTTTTTTTTTTTGTTTTGTTTAAATGAAGATTTTTTTTCCTTGAAAGAAAATCAATAGAATTCTTCTACGGGATTTTTTTTTTTTTTTTTTTTTTTTTTTTTTTTTTTTTTGCCTCTTTCCTTTTAAATGTAATTTATCACTGTAACAGTTTTTTCTTTTAAAAAATAAGCAATAGCATTTAATCAATAAAAAAAAATTCTCGGATAAAAAAAAATCTGAGAAATTATGTTTTTAAGCGAAATTTTTTTCTGAAAACAAATTTTTTAACGTGATTTTATTTTAAAAAATACGTTTTTCTAAGAGGAAGAAAAGTGATATTTTGCTTTAAATGAAATTTATCATAGAACTAGAAAATATTGTCATTATTTGCGTATTTAAAAACGAGTTTGAATTAATGTCAAAACAATCTTAAATTTTGTTGAATCAAAAAATAAATGCTTAAAAACAATAATTAATTTATATACATAAATAATAAATACGCAATAATATATAATAATAATAATGAATAAACTTACCCATTTTGGAGATTAAATCTAAGCAATCTCGTTTTCCTTAAACAGTGAAGTATTATAGATGCAACTTATATCACTAAGTCGACAGTTAATGATTCTCCGGTTCGGAAACGAAACTTTATAAAACGCGAATCCAACTATTGCACAATGTTTTGAAAATGAAAAGTTTGTTGACATGATTGGTGTTCTTCTCCAAAAAGCAGTGTAGTTTCTGGAATCGAAAAGTTAGAACTCATTGCCGTTCGCAAAGTAGAAAACGTTTGAATCACTTTAATAGAACTGATAAAACTCGCAGAACTAGAAGTGAATCTATTGTACCTTTTTTTCGAAAACAGCCTTAATGAGAAAGCATAACGTTGTGCAATCTGGCGAGAGAAAAAAAATAGAACTTGGCAAAATAATTATCGCTCTTTTGGCAAACATTTATATTTCAAGGATGACATTTTTTTTTCAGTGTTAAAAAGTTCCCTTTTCTGATTTTAGCTTATTTTATGTTTCAACACATTAATATTAAAATTTTTAAAATAATATATTATTCAATAAATATTGCAATATTATAAACAAAGTTTTTAATTTATTGTTGAAAAATATGAACAAATACAAATTAGATACAAATACAAAGACACAAATACGTACAAATACAAATTATGTATCTAAGTTATTTGTATTTTTAAAACTATTATTTTGTGTTTCAGGCTTCAGTAGTAATAACTTTTTAAAAATAAAAATAAGAAACTATTTTTAAAGAAATGCGTTTAATTTATTGCAATATCTAAGAATTTGTATTCATCTTTACACCAGGTTGTAAAATATGAAATGTCGGATTTTTTTAAAGCAACTTAGTTAATCTTTTTTTTTTATTAAATGTTTATGAATTGTATAGAAATTACATATTATTCTAAAGCTTATTATGTGCTTTTTCCTGCACTAAAAGTTTTTTTGGTATCGTTTTAGACGCTGATTTCTAAAAAAAAATTTGAGGATGGTGATGAGAATCTTGAAAATGAACTACGTGGAGGACCAGAGTCAAAGCTTGATGGCACGCCATTGAGAGAGCCCTTATGGAATCTAATTCTCCCATTACTGTTCGGAAGTTGCACAAGAATTAGGAGTTAGTACAGCAACGGTATCAAGTCGCCTCTCAACCATTGGCAAAGTCAAAAAGTTGGATAAATGGGTTCCGCACGAACTGAAAAAAACAATCGCCTTGAAATCTGCAGTTTTTTGCTTCTGAGAAATAAAAGAGAACATTTTTGAACAGAAATATCACCTATGATGTTAAATGTAACGTTTATGACAATAGGCTTCGTTCAGTGCAATGGCGAGATCAGATGAAAGTCCAAAAGCACCTCTGCACCCAAAAAAGGTGAAGATTATTGTTTGGTGATCTATGGTCGGAATAATTCATAATAAATTTTTAAATCCTGGCGAAACAATAACAGCAGAGGAGTATCGTGCAGAAATTAAAGTTACGCATCAAAAATTACGTCAAATGCAGCCGGCACTGGTCAACCAGAAAATACCTATTTTGCTTCATGATAATAAAAAAAAAAAATGACCCCATGTTTCATTGACCGTCGCAAACAAGTTGGCCGAATTAAAATACGAGGTTCACCACATCTACCGGACATATCTCCAGCGGATCATCACTTTTTTAAATAGTTGGTCAACTTTCCCTGCGATAAAAAGTTCCCCGATCTAGAGTCGATTAAAAAATGACTTTCAATCTTTTATTGTCACCAGAGAACAAAACTTTTATTAAAAAAAAAAGGTAGTCAAAAACTAGTAACACTTGGAAAAACTGTGTAGATTGTGATGGTTCTTACTTTGATTAATAAAGTTGGAAAAAATAAAAAAAAGCTATGCTTATTTAAATTCACTATAAAAAAATCCGACATTTCATTAGCAACAACCAAATATTATTATTTTTAAAATTAATAACAAAACTATCTCTATACTTTATAGAACCCTAGATGAAGAAAATTTATTGCANATACGGAGCCCCGGTGGCTCAGGAGTTAAAGCATTCACCAATGAAATAACATAGGTTCGAATCCCAGCGGTGGCTGAGTGATACGAATTCTGATCCAAAGCTCGCACCGACCACAGTACTGACGTAAAATAACCTCCGTAGACGAATCATGGTTTAGAAAACTCTAGTTGTCATACTGGAGGTTTCCATGGTTTTCCTCTCAGTGTAACAAATATGCGGATTAGTTCAATCAAAAAAGTTCCCCGGATGCTATTTTTTCCCAATTCTTAATCCAAGAGTTCCCTTGTCTTCTGTGTAGGGTAAAAAACTGTGTAAGGTATAAAATTTTAAATAGGACGGTTACTTGATAATATCCTTAACAAATGACAGCAATGGATAAGTTATATTTTACCGTGCTAAAGATTTTTAGAAAAAGCAATTTAGTGTTTTGATGCATGTCTAAAAAAGCAACATTTGAAACTCTACTAATACTTTAGCAGAAAATTCTTTAAACTTATCCATCTTACTAAAATAAACTTATTTATAAAATATTTTCGTATGTTTTTATTAAATATTTCTGCAATAGAATGAAATTTTATTACCCGTGAAATGTGGGGTTGTGCAAATTACGAGTATATTCTGTACAGATAGTTTTATCCTCTAAATTTATTATTTAAGATAATCTGATATTCTAAAATTCAATAACGAAAGTTATTATACTATTAATTTTATTTAAATATAAAAGAATATTGCATAGGGAATATTTAGTGCATATATCAAAAGAATTCAGAATTAGCTGATGTTTACGTTATTCTTCCCACCTCTCGAATAGTTCCCCAAACATAAAGGATCAAAGATAAAGTGCAATAAACTCCTCCTGAAACTAGTTTTTGTTTAAATAGATCTCTAAGACAACACACATAATTGACCTTATCATTTAAATAATAGGAAGAAAAAACAATCGTCATCAATTTGCATGCAATTGGGTGTATTCCGATCGTAGTGATTTTCGTAATAGTTCTTTGATAATTTTAATGCACAGAACAACTAAACGTGAACATACTACACAAGCATATAAACATTAAGTTCCTAACTAAATTACTTATTGGTAACTATCATATTCAAACTGTTTGTCCCGGTAAACTGTTTGTCCCGCCAGGTTCATTTCTAATCTGTTTGAATTCTCTGTCGGTTAAGGAATTCAAATTTTAAATTTCCCTTTTATAGGGATTAAATCATTCGTGAACTGAAGTTGTCACATGATTAATCATATGAAACAAATTTGTATTTTACACATCTCTCTCGGTGTTGTTGTAGTTGTTATAGTTCATTTAGGTCGCACTAGAGCTACACAATGGGCTATTGGCGACGGTCTGGGAAACATCCCTGAGGATGATCCGAAGACATGCCATCACAACTTTGATCCTCTGCAGAGGGGATGGCACCCCCGCTTCGGAAGCCCAACGACCTTCGCGCGAAGTTGAGCACTTTACGGTAGCACAGTTTAACGAGGACCCATGCCGCACACCCTCGGTCCCTACGCAGACTGATCCACCCGCACACTGACCGCAGCCAGTGATGCTTGACTTCGGTGATCTGCTGGGAACCGTGTCTTAACGATCAGTCCACTGCGGGACACATCCCTCTCGAATAGGCTAATTAAAAATTTTGTTCGATTTTTACGATTGTGGTTCGAATTTGATAACACTGTCCAAATTTCAAGACTTTCTAGAATAAAAAAGAGAGAGACACGATAAAACTTTATTTTATTATAGATTTACTGCTTTAATTTCCAATAAACATTAATAAATTGTAGTGAAAAATCAAGAAATTATTTATCACTTTAAGACTTATTTTACTCACAAAACAGGGGATTAATTCTTCGATGCAATCTTAAACGCCGTTGCCATTCCTTCAAAATAAATGACGAGCAAAATGATTCGCGAGAATGATGTAAAATATTTTTTTTTGCATACGTTTTAAACCTCCCCCCTTTCTACTCTTCGAGACCATTGCTTTTACTAAACTATTACTAGATGAACTAGCGAAAATCCCATTTGCAAGCACATTCTTCAAATTCCTTACTTTTCGTCTCTTTAAATTGGTAAAAGCTGTGATAGATTGTTCAATGTCGTTGAACTTTTTCGTAGGATTGCAGAAACACGGTTTGAGAAATAAATTTCCTGCCTTTATTAAAAGTCCAAACAGATCTTTCTTTTTTTTTTTACTTTTTCTAGTTTCGTGCTGAATGCACAAAGTTTTTATTTAAAAAGATAAATTCAGTAATTTCAGCCAATCAAGTTGTAAAACAAAATTTAAAGCCATTCTAAAATAAGCAAAATCAGAAAAATGGTTGGTGTTAGATGTTCATTTTGAAAGTATTTAAGAAAATATTTTATGCACTCTGATATGAGATATCGAAAGTCACGTCTCTAAAACTTAAGATTTTCATATCTTAATAATTAGTAACTACATTATTTTATGAACTTTAGAAATTTTATGAAAGTATGGTACTGTGTAGTTTAAATGAGAATTTACGTTAATTCAAACATCATATTAAAGAAACTAGTGGGCTGAGCCCCCTGCTCGCTTACGCTCGCTACTAACTTAAGTACATTGCAAATGCACAAAATTCTAAGAATTCAAAACAATCATTCAAATCCATATATAAACTTTTTTTTAAAAAAAAAATTCAAAAGCGTAACAGCACGACTGAGACTCATTTTTCAATGAATAACTAATAACAATAATAGAATGCTCTCTCTGATTATTTCAGTTTCCGTTTTTAAAAGCACTATATGTTGAGGCACCTCAGCTAGATTTGGCGTGTGACATTTTTAGCGGCAATCATTGGTCTATTTTCTAGCGTTGCCATTCGGGGAGTTGTAATGAGGCTTTTTTTTGTCGCCGTGTAAAAGAAATATATATATAGATGCTCTTTGAATGAGAAATAATAGTATTTGGGAAACACAAGTCAATCGAAATTAAGAAAAAGGAAAAATCTCAACAAACTGAAAGGGTAAGAAAGTAAACATTTCATTCGCCTAAAAAATTATAAAGTTGGTTAAAGTCAACGTATTTTGAGCAATCGAAAATAGGCGCACATTCTCAAGACTCGCCAGGGGAAAATGAGGAAAAAAAACAAACTTGAAAAAGAAAATACAAAGTTTTCAGTTACATTATCAAGCAAACTGTTATTAGTTCAACCTGTTTTATCAATGAGCTTCTAAATGCAAGAAGTTTTATTACAGCCCGCCATGTTAATTTCTAGAATCCTTGTCAGAGGAAAGTCAAAAAATTCTACAAAGTAGGGGTTTCATATTAATCTGTAGGTGAGGAAAACGCTGACGAAATCTAACGAATCCTACTGATGAAACATTAAAATTTGGTTTGAGTGAAAAGGCAATTATTAGAAACACTTCTAAGTTTAACCAGGCAAGAAACTAAGTTTTGATTGTGTTCAAGTCCCGCCTTTCTCAGTAATGATTCGTTAGAATTCGATAGCATTTTTTCCCTGTTTGAATAATTATTTTATTCCTTTCATGCGTACACATATGATCTACTTTTTAACAAGGGTAATGTATATTTAGGTTGGTCATTGCGGTACAATCTGTATATATAATATTTTTAAAAAAATTAATAATTAATCACAACTATGAGCATTCCTAAAGAACACTTTTTTAATGCAAGCCGAAAGGATAAGTATAAATTAATAATTGGGGTGAGGAAACAAAAAAAGCCACAATATACAAAACACTCCAAAACTAAAGAAATCAAATAAGCCAAAGACAAAATGAGCTAGTAAGTTACTTAAGTTCAGACTGCTTATCATTAAGGCCATTATTTTAATGAGAGAAAAAAATAAATCCCTCGCATCATGGATAAGAAAAACAACTAAATTAGACAACATTCAATTCTGAAATAATGAACACAAGTTTGTTTTCTTAATCTATTAAGTATAATTAACTACAAATAAATATACTTGCTTATACAAAATGTTTTTGTTTTTTTAATTAATAAATAAATTGGAATAACATAAGCCAATGAATTCTAGTTTCCAACTATCAATAGCATATATTTTAAATGCATCCTTGAAAAAAAAATTTCAAAAATTAAAAAAAACTTACATTTAGAAAACGTTAAGTAGCTTACAATAAATACAACGTATTTTTAATTTTTCAATCCACATTTAGTAATGAGTTTTTTTTAATTGGAATTAATTATTGCAAATCTAAGTCTCAGTTATTGTTGTTGTTATTATTTGAAAATACTGCAGAGCAAATCCATCGCAAAAAATATAACATTCCATACTGAAAATACATCAATTTCAATAAATTCGTCTAACGCTCAATAAATTTATCTAACTAATACATTTGTCTTTAACTAAAAAAATTGCCTTTGCTAGATAGTAAAGATATTAAATAAGTGAAGATCGTTTTAAACTACTTAAAATAATAATAACACTTCGTGATTTTTAACAAATTTTCTGTTTAACTAATTTGCAATGTTTTGATGTTAAATTTAAAGTTTAAATATAATTTACTATTGAATAACAATAAAAGTTAATTACAAGAATACAAGCAGCATTATGCAATAATAAGAATGTAAATTAAGCTTGAATATTTTTATACAGAAGACGTGAAACAAAAATTGAAAAAGAGAAGTTGGATATAAAAAACTTACCAGCGACACGATGGGTAAAAATTCTGCAGGATTTTTAAATCACAATTACAAGTTCCAAGTGTTGATTATAGTGTCCAACAGTCAAAAGTTTTAAAACTTCTTTATCAGAGTCCGATTCATAAAGAGTATTTTTATGATTGTACGAGAGTAGTAGGAGTACTTTACGTCAAACTAGAGCTGCACAATAGGCTATTGACGCCGGTCAGGGAAACATCCCCGAGGATGATCCAAAGCCCAAGAAGTAAACATGTCCACCAATTACAGTAGGCTTTATTATTGTTAACAATTATTAGATAAAAATTCTGAAGATTTTCACTGATGTCAGAATAGTGAAATATAAATAACAAGTAAGGCATTTTTAGCGTCAGTAATTTTCACAGCTAGCAATATAAGTTTGTAAATAATAATGTCATGATTTTTATTATTATATTTCGAGAGCTTAGCTTTGAAGAATAGTTTTAGCTAAATTTTAATCTATTATTTATAGGAAATTCGAAATCCACAGTTTTTCATTCGAAGAAAATTATACTAAGTTAAGGAAGCTTTAATCCATACTTCATTTCTGGAGAAAAAAAATTCAGATTTTTTTAAAAATTTATATTTATACAAAATATACTTAGAACCAATATTTTTTATGCAAAATTTGTAATTTGCGGAAAACCTTTTAACAGAAAGCATTTATAGCAGATGTTACAATTTACGGTTTTTCACATCCATAAACACAAAACGCGTGTGTTTAGTGAATCACCTTCAAAAGTTTAAACTCAATAAACGCTCATAACGAGATTAAACTGTTTAATCGGATTTTTTAATCTACATTAAGGCTGAACTAGATTATAACTAATAACATTGTTGCATGCCTTAAAGAAATTAATGTCAATAATTCACAACAAAAAGTTTAAACCTATGCAGTCAATTGTAATGCAAGCAGTCAATTGATTTCTAAAGATTAAATTGAATTTAGTTGAAAGGACGGAGTGGTCTCGCTGTTCGTAAAAACGCTCTGTAGTGTGGAGGTAGCGGGTTCGAGTATGACCTTAACCATAAATGTATCTTTCTGATGACGTTTTTTAATTTGTGCAGCCTGTTAATCAATTTAAAAAGGACTGAAAAACTTTATTTGTAATTGGAACACAAGCACGCAAATCTGCGCTTGTATGTGTAATAAATAAAATAAGTAAAAATTGAAACGATACTAGAGTTGGAATATGTTAGAGTTTCTATCCAACAGTTGTCGCGCGCCGAGTGATACTGAAAAATGGCGAAATTAGCTCAATTTTCTAAAAACGAATTTTTTTTATTTTTTTATCCTTGAAGGGTGAGGCTGAGGAATGCTGTAGAGAAATGCTTCCTTATTTTAAATTTTGAATTACAATATTTCTATCAGAAAATTAAAAAATATTTATCAATCCTAAATTCGGGAAGCATAGGAACATGATAAATTACAATTAATGAATTCAAAGTTAAAAAAGAAAACCGTTAGTTTAAATAATATCACCTCAAATATTCTTGAATTAATATTTATCATAGGTAATATTTTTAATGAGCATAATCTTTTATGACATACAAATATATAGTCCAAATTTCTTAAAAAAATTCGGCCAAGATTTGGATGAAAAACTTACATTTTGAGACGAAATAGAAGTATTTTCTACATAAAATATTAAGATTCGTAACAGCAAATTCACATTTTATTAAGAGTACGTTTGACACACAGGTTTAATTAACACAAAATTGGAGATCATGGGTCATTCTCACTCCTCTCCCACTTTTTCTCTCGTATTCACCTTTTGAGAATAATGGCTTGTTCGGTGAATGCTTTCCAGAACCATAAATATCTACAGAAAAGATCCTCCTGGAAAATACGGAACTCATTCTATTCAATGTCAAAAAAGTGGTTTTTCTGTTGCACTCTCTTCTTTCCATATTTAGTTAAGCTTTTACGTAGAAAATAACCATATAAAAAGTTAACCCCAAAAAATGTAATAAATAACCTATAAATTTATTTTTAAGGTAAACAATACTTTAAAAAAAGGAGGAAATTAGTTAACAAAACATTAAATCTGGGTCTCGTTCACCGGCTCCGTTACCAGGCGTTTTCCCCCAAATACTAGATATGTACAATGCGCAAAATTTTTTAACATCTGGATAATTTTTTATCCCTTTATGATCGAATTTCAAAGCTACAGGATTCAATCATATACTACTTAATATTCTACTTAATTAGAGCAGGCGGTATTTTATATCTTGACCATTCTCATGGTGGGTTGCCGTTGCCGCAATCTGGAAAATATGGTATATTATGGTCAGGAAAGCGGCTACAAGTTTGGACCCCTCTTTGCGCATTTCACCATACACGAGAATTTCTAAGCGAATCGAAAAACTTTTGAACACAAAAAATTCATCAATCCAGATCTTATCAGATCTATTCAAGAAGTTAACAGATGGGTAAGTAGTAGATGTTGATCCGCCACAAGTGAAAGTGTCCGCCAACACGTCGAATTCCTACCATCTGGTTATCCTGGTTAGAGAATTCGAAATTTAGCATTTGAGACGAGACATACATGTGTGACAGTTGTGCTTCCTTGTGATCAATATTATAGACCAAGTTGAGATAGATAGATTCAGTTACAAAAAAAAAAGATATTTTGGAACACAGATGAGTTCCTTGTCACCCAGAGTAATGTATAGGAAAACTGGGCTGTCGTGCTACTTGAGATAGGGTGCGTGGTATCGGTCCTCGCTAAGCTGTTTCACCGTAAAGTGCTCGACTTCGAGAGCAAGTCGCCGGGCTACCGAAGTGGGGTTGCCGTACCCTCAGTAGAGGATCAAAATTGTGATGGTATGTCTTCTGATCAACCTCAGGGATGCTTCCCAGACCGTCACCAATAGCCCATTAAGCAGCTTTAGTGCGACGTAAATAAACTACTTCGAATACAACTATTTATTGTTAGACATACACTTGCGTCCCACAGTAGACTGATCGCAAACACGCGGTTCACAGTTTAACGCCACAGTCAAGCATCACTCGCAGTGGCCAGTTACCGGGTTGGTTACCACTTTGATCAGTCCCGCAGTGGACTGATCGTTAAGACACGGTTCCCAGCAGATCACCGAAGTCAAGCATCACTGGCTGCGGTCAATGTGCGGGTGGGTGACCACTTGGATCAGTCTGCGTAGGGACCGAGGGTTTGCGGTATTGGTCCTCGTTAAACTGTGCTACCGTAAAGTGCTCGACTTCGCGTGCAGGTCGTTGGGCTACCGAAGCGGGGGTGCTATCCCCTCTGCAGAGGATCAAAATTGTGATGGCATGTCTTCGAATCATCCTCAGGGATGTTTCCCAGACCGTCGCCAATAGCCCATTGTGGCAGCTCTAGTGAGACGTAAATGAACTACAACAACAACCACTTTGATCAACCAGAAGGGATCGAAAATGTGCGGTATCGGTCTGATGGTCAAAGTGTGGTGCTTTGCACTGAAGAAAATAAATCTGGAATTAAAAAAAAGGAATTTCTATCTAAAATTCTCCCTGTTGATATTCATTCAGTTGGAGCAGATGTATTTATAATGTGTGGTTAATATTCTACATTTTAAAGTATGAATGTCCATCTATTGTAATTAGATTCAGAAATATGACAAACATTTTATGGTGTTGCTGTTGCTGTTGTTACTTTACGTCGCACTAGAGCTGCACAATGGGCTATTGGCGACGGTCTGGGAAACATCCCTGAGGATGATCCGAAGACTTGCCATCACAATTTTGATCTTCTGCGGAAGGGATGGCACCCCCGCTTCGGTAGCCCGACGACCTGCGCGCGAAGTCGAGCACTTTACGGTAGCACAGTTTAACGAGGACCAATACCGCACACCCTCGGTCCCTACGCAGACTGATCCAAGTGGTCACCCACCCGCACACTGACCGTAGCCAGTGATGCTTGACTTCGGTGATCTGCTGAGAACCGTGTCTTAACGATCAGTCTACTGCGGGACACATTTTATGGATGGTTGACTTAATATAAACAATAACCAGCTTCTTAAAACCTAAAGAAATTTAGATAACTTCCGGTGTATCGCTCCGCTTATGGCATGCTTACAAGGCAATGTGTGAACAGGCTTCATATTCTAGGAAGCTTTATTATTCTAATTTGTGTTTAAATTTACGCGTAATTTCACCATTCGTAAAAGTTCCTTGTAATTTACAAATTTTAACTCGTTGTGAGCCTAAAACAAATTTAAGAAAATTAATATGAACACCTAAACAAAGTGTAAGGTTTGCCATGTTTTGAGCGTTATCCCTTTTTTGGCTATAGTTGTGCAAAATATGACAGCTTGTAAATTTTTGAGTTGCATCACAGCATGCTTGCGGAGTTTTCCAAATTCATTTTTGGTTTGTTTCGTTGAAATTTGAATTGAAAGAACACATTAATTTGTAAATAGTACAACTATAATAATATTGGATGGCGTGCTTTTTCAAGCTTTAAGCGTAAAAATCAATCGGAAGAAGTAATCCGGAAATCTTACAACGAATTTTAACACCTGGCGCCATCTGTGCTTATCTTCACACGGTCAAACATCCTGCATTCCGGCAATTTTTAATATATATTGCAATAGCAATACAGGGTTATTCATAATTCCCTCTGTTTACTACAACTGGCTTCAGTGGTACATGTTAGTGACATCTATCGGCAACTACTTAAATTAAAACTTGAATACTTTCGGAATAATTTCATATGTTCTTTTTTGCCATATTCGTCTTCGTTTTTTTACTAAAACGCTTCGAAACCCCGGAGGGAATTATGAATAACCCTGTACTTAAAGAATTAAGAAAATGAATCCACAAAATTAAGGGAATAAAAAAAATAGTTAAAATATTATTAATCTGCCCATTTAGAGTGCGTCTATACTAACTGCATTAAATACAATCTTCAGATGAGGGTTTATGATATTTCCTTCCAGAATATGTAATCTTTTTTTTCTTTATAATTATTTTACCCTATTTTATAACCGTCGTTAAACAGCTGACCAATTTTTTTGGCCTCACGACTACTAATGTTCAACTTTGTAGCCTTGTAATTTTGAACTCAATCCAGAAGACAATGTAAGTTCTGAATCAAGTATTGGGAGAAATTTGACTCCGTGGAGGACTTTTAGGTGGAACTAACCAGCATTTGAGTTACATGGAGACGAAACCCACTCAAGGTTAGCCTGACGGCAAGGGGACTCTAACCCATGATCCGTCTACCACAAGGGATATTTTACGTCAGCATTGTGGTCAGTGCAAGCCCGATGCGGAATTCGTATTGACCAGCCATCGATGGGATTCGAACCCAGTTCGCCTCATTGGAAGACAAACGCTCTGTCATCCGAGCCATCATGGCTTAAAAATAACAACAAAAACATTTAATTGGACAAAATATAAACAAAATGTTTCTAAAAAATTTAATGCAGACTTATGGATCTAAAATAAAAATGCTTATTGAAAACGATACAGGTAAAACAATGCACGTTTGAAAACATATTTAAAATTTAATGTTATTAAATAAAATTTGTAATTTCTGATTTAAATTTGGGATTTTTGTATAAATTAAATGTAATTAGCATTTACATTTTGTGAGTTTCATTTCTAGATCGCAACAAAAATTGATTATTAAAGGGAATTCTTGAAAAATATGTCTTAGATTTCAAATTACACATAAAAAGCAATTCATAATACTAATAAAAAAAATAAAAAAATTTGACACGTCTCATGAATGAACTTGAACTTACTCTTAAAAGTCCTTGCAAAGATTTTTATCCATAATTTGTTACTGTAGTGACCTTTTTCTCTCTCTTTTAAAAATCAAAAAACACAGAGAACAAGGTTGTAACTTCTAAATATATACTGTAAAACTTTAAGGGGGGAGGGGAACCTCTCAATAATTTCAAATCCATGCAACATGTAAGGAGCTTTCTAGTTTGAAAAAATATAACTACATAACATTTATGATCTCAAGGTTTTCCAGCATTGGTTTATTAGATGTATCAGAATTACTTTTCCTTTTTATGCAATGCATCAGAATTTAAAATACAAAATGTTGCATCTTTTGTTCTGAAAAAAAAAAAAAAAGTTTGCTGTGAGCTTCTCATTTTAGCCTTTAATTTTACCATAATTGAGGGTTCTCTTTCAGACGAAAAAGGAATTATTCCTACAAGTTTACCAATAGAGAATTAGATAAATGTAAATTTGGGAGATAACTAAATAACACTTTTGGCACTGAAATATCCCTTATTGGACATAGTTTCCAAAATAAAAGTTTCTGGACAGTGAGAATTTTTAAAACTTTTTTTTTTTCATCAAATTTCAAGCTTTAAAAATATTTACAATTTTAAAATTTAGTTACTAGGTTCAATACTTAGAACAACATTGCAATGATTCGGAAATAATACTTGGTTACTTAATAATTCTCTTTAGATTAATAATATTAATTAATATTTTTTTTTCAAGAAACCCCTGAACTGCACATTTCATTTGCTTTATTCATTTTACTTTCAAGAATTACTGATAATATTATGCTTCTTGCGATAGAAATAAATAAGCATATCAACAACACTAAAATAAGTTCGAATAATGACCATCTACTAATATATTCAATGCATGAAACACATTGGAAATCAGAAGAGAAAAATAATGATCAGATTTGACAACAGCAATCTCCTTGCATTCATATACTAAAGTTGCGGTTGTTGCCATCATCATAATAATAAAGTTTAAAAAAAATTTCAATACAATGTAATCAGTTAAAAAAAACATATGTAAACTTTTTAACTCTTTCCCCCAAATAACACATAACCTTCCATTTTTTTAATTACTTAAAGAGTAGACCTGCAATTAATTAAAATAGTGCTTTTAGTTTTTGGATCACATAGTTTGTCTATAGAAAGATATTGCAACATACATATTATCAGGGGTGATTGTGGGTCCAGCTCAAATATCCCGAAAATTTCTTGAGTAAAATCATTCAAAAAAATTCATAGTTTTATAAATTTAAATCATTGAAATTTTCAAAACATGACATTCTAAATGAATTATATGCAGCATAATTTAAATTAATAATTTGGTATAAGTTTACTTTTAACTCTAATCACATTTATTATTCTACCAGAAAAAATATTTACAAATGAAATAGATGCCAAGTATAAATTCTAGGTCTAATATTTTTATACATAAATGTGATCAATGTTTTCTTGAAACTTCTGGACTTTGGATGTCCGGAAACTTTCGGATCATGGTTAGCGAAAAATCCGGATTTTTTCCGGTGCGCAATCACCCCTGTATATTGTATCCATCTACCATTTTTTTTTTATTACTTAAAGAGTAGATCTGCAGTTAATTAAAATAGTGCTTTTAGTACTGGGATTAGATAGTTAGACAATAGAAAGATATTCTCACATACATATTATGTATCCCATCTACTATTTTTTTTTAATTACTTAAAGAGTAGGCCTACAATTAATTAAAATAGTTTTTTAGTTGTCAGATAATATAGTTTGTCTATAGAAAGAAATCCCCTCACAGCAAGGTCTATAGCAGTCAGCTGTTATGGAAACAAAAAAATAGCACATTTAAAAGAAGAGAGCTACTCCCCCTCCCCTTGATTTCTTTCTCTCACCCTCCTGAGCCAAACATTGATCTGATACACAAAATTGAAATAGTTAAACCTCATAACCATAGTTACTTCCACTGCTCCAGACGAGACGAATGGAGGGAGGAGTTCTTTCCATAGACATGTTATAATAATTCTTAAAAATTATAACTAGCTATTTCAATTAGCAAAACATGAAAAAAAGATAAGGTGGGAATTTTTTAAACAAATTAATGGCGTTTAACTTGTAAATCATATCATGGAAGATAAAAAAAAAAAATTATCGCAAATTGACAGAAAGACTGGATAAAAGGTTTCAACGTTTAAGTGTGTCAAGAAATGTAACCAGAAAAAATATTCATATAACTTAACTTCAAAAAAAATTTTTACTTTATTGATTAAAATATCTCTAAATGAAATGGGTTACAAATAAAATGACTAATGAAAGTTTTATTTGCAAGTTAACTTTTCTGATTTTACTGCATAACTCATTAGCTGCTAAAGCTCCTGCAAGGGGAACAACTATTCCTTATTTTTCCTTGCTTCCTTTTTATTAATTTAAATCTTTAAATTTTAATAATTACACTAAATATAAACTATAATTATATTAATATTTATGAAAAGGAAAACTATTTTTTTAAGTTTTCAAAAATTATAATTAAAATAGGAATAATGAGAAAAATTTAGTGACTTTTTTTTTCTATTCCTTTTTTAAACACAATTCTTAAAATTTCTTATACTATAATTGTAAAAATCTTAACCACCTTTGTCTGTAAGAAACTGGTGCAAAAAATTACTAAAAGTAGTTGATAACATCCTCCTGATTTGTCAGTACCAATATGAGAGTTTGGACCAGAAGTATACATTGAAATCTAAACTAATAAACTTTTTAGTGCAAATTTTTTTCTGCTTTACGTGCGTATTATTAAATGCAATAATTCTAATCATTCGTCATAGCAGTACCTAATGAAATCACAAATGATGTTGCAGATGAAATAAATTAAAAAACTTTTAAATATATAAATAAATATTTAATACAAAACATGTACAATACATCTAAAAAAACAACATATGCTATTTACAATATTTACAACAATAACTTATGCATTTATAGATCTTGAAGTTTCAATAGGGCTAGGTGATTCTTCATCTGATTTTCTTATGAGTGGTTCTGTTTCCCCTTCATCTCTATACCGTATTCTCAAATAGAGAGGANAAACTTGCGAGAAAATTTATCGAATTTCGTTCCGGTTTTTTGGTTTTCCGGTTTTCTGATTTCCGGATAACTGGTTCTGTACTGTAGTTGATAACAACCGCCTGATTTGTCAGTACCAATATGAGAGTTTGGGCCAGAAGTATACATTAAAATCTAAACTAATGAACTTTTTAGTGCAATTTTTTTTCTGCTTTACGTGCATATTATTAAATGCAATAATTCTAGTCATTTGTCATAGCAGTACCTAATGAACTAACAAATGATGTTGCAGATGAAATAAATTTAAAAACTTTTAAATATATAAATAAATATTTAATACAAAACATGTACAATACATCTAAAAAAACAACATATGCTATTTACAATAATTACAACAATAACTTATGCATTTATAGATCTTGAAGTTTCAATAGGGCTAGGTGATTCTTCATCTGATTTTCTTATGAGTGGTTCTGTTTCCCCTTCATCTCTATACCGTATTCTCAAATAGAGAGGACGAATTATAACATCATTATACAGACACATACCACAAAATAAAATTATAAAACCTACTAACTGTAACCAATAAAATGTTTCCCATTGTACAGCTAGGGAAAAGATCCATACAGTGAAAGTTCTGATGCTGTCCAAGACCATACGTGTAGTAGCACTCATTTCTTTAGTGACACTCAAGCCAGCAAAGTTAAAGAAAGCAATGCTTACAATGGTTCCTGAAAAATAATTTTGTTTTTATAAGTTGCAAATAAAAAATTGTAAATAAGATGAATATTTCTTTTATCAGCCACCTTGATGACCAGCTTGGTCAACTTTTAAAATTATGTAGTACAATACATAAACTTTAATGGTAACTATGGCGCAATTTTACTTAAATATTCTTGGTCACCTTTCAAAATTAATTAACTAGAACAATTTATAAACTTTTATGTATTTAATAATTGTATTTAAATATTCAAATTTTTCCACCTCTCCTCCAATCCTAACACCTTAATTCCTTTAAACAGTATATTAACCAAATTTTTCGCGGACTAGCTATTCCCTAGGCCTTGCCAATACGGAAGTATTTTGATTTCAGTTTTAGGTATTTCCAAGCGATGTCTGCGATATTGTGAAAGTTCTTGATTTTTAGTTAGAATTTAGCATCTGTCTGGATGCCATTAAATAAATTTTTAAAAAAAAGTAAGTATGAGTTTGGGAAATTTCACATAGTAGACAGAAGTAATAAAATTATTTCCATCTCTGTCATAAGATTTGATAGAAAACTCTTCCCAATTCATTACATGCTGTACTATTTCCCTGCAAGCCACGACTTGAGTATTGTAATATATATATATAGTTCGAAAAATGCAACCTCTGTCACAAATAATTGGTATGACAGTATGAAGCACTATAACACCCTTTAAAATTTCTACAACCATTTTAGAATGGATCAAAAAAATAATTCTAAATAATAACTTTGTAATGAAGTTTTTACTGCTATAAAAATACAAAATGAATCTAAAGAAATACTTAACATAAAACTAATAATTCAACACTACTAAAATTATAACTTGAGACAACCTAATAAAATCAGTCTAAAATACTTTTGATGTATAACTAATTTTTTAACGTTAATTAAATTTTTACTTTAGACAACCGAGCAAAATGATTAATAATTATAGTGGTGCCATTAAATAGAGAAATACATGAATTCAGAGCTACAGAATTCATGGTGCCACATAAGAGAAATATATATAGAGATTATATTGCCAACAAAATATGAACAAAAAAAAGAGATACCTGTCAGCATAGAGAAAATATTTTTTATTAATAAGATTTATCAATCATTAAAAATTTATATAAATCATAAAATGTCAATTGATTAAAATGCATAATTAAGAACAACTTAATCCAAATCATTTTCACTAGTATTCAGCACAATAAAAAACTTATTCAATACTGATAATTACTTTAAGTTTGTATCTTTTGATACAGATGTGAATCTTTAATTCATTAATCTAAGATCAAATACTTTATTTTACTGTTACAAACAAATGAAATGTTTAAAACTTTAGCAAAAAAAAATTTTGAGGTCATAAATTTATTTTATAGAAAAAATATCACAACAATACATTTGTAACATTCAAAAAATTTTCAAAAATAGAGCAAACAAAAAAAAATTCCGGAAATAAGTATATTTTTTCCCTTACCTGCAATAGCTAAGGAGACCTGCCAGCTGTTACCCATTTGAGTGAAAGCATCGAGAGCATCTTCCATTCTTCCATAGGGGCTATTAAAAATGCTATTTCCAACTTTTATGTAGTACATAGGAATTAATAGAATACCCAATATCGAAAAACCAAACAAACCTGAAAATTAATATAAATTATATTCTCAAAAATTTTACAAATCTAATCAAATTTATTAATAAAAGAAAACATAAAACCGCCTATGTTAAAATTTATCACTTCACAGTTAGTCACCAGAATAGGAAGAAAAATGGTCCCTTATGTGTCAACGTAGGTTTTAAAAAAGAAATCGAATACTTTACAAAATTAATCAAATTTATTACAGGGTGCATAGCCAGATTTTACAACAAAAAATAAGCAACTTTTAAGTACTTTTTAAGCACTCAAAAAATATTTTTAATCACTTTCCAAAAAGAAATCATAATTAGGATCTGTGCAGAAATAAAAATTAATTTTTTCTATTTTTTGAAGTTCTTAATTTATAAATATAAAATCAATAAAATTTAAAAAAATTTCAAACATTTCTCATAATTATGATAAATAACTAATTTCTGATACATATTGCAGAAAAAATTATTAAAGTCATGCAGTTTTTGCATTTGAGAATTGACAATCGAAAAGGCAAAGAAAAAAATCTCGTTTCAAAAGAGAAAATTAAGCACTTTTTACAAACACCGTGTAAAAAAAGCACCTTTAAGGGTTTTTAAAAAACCAAAATCAAAAATAAGCACCTTTAAGTCGTTTTTAAAAACTTTGCACACCCTGTATTAAATATTTAAAAATAGAAAAATAACATATTGAATCAGGATTAAAATTCATCACTTTACAGGCAATCTCTAGAATAGAACGAAAATTCGTTTTTTGTGTATTGCAGTAAACATTGTTTTTTTTTTTTTTTTTTTTTTTTTAAATCAAACATTTTACAAAATTAATCAAATTTATTAAATATAGAAAAACACATAAACCCAGTATTAAAATTCTTTAAAAAAAATAAATAAAATTCTTTTTTACAGTCCATCATCATCAGAATGGGACAAAAATTCATCCGTTGTGTATTACTTAAAAAAAAAAAAAAATACAGCATTTTATCAATGAGGTTACAAATAATGATGTGATGGGATATGTGGTGAGGTATCTGATAAGCCTAAAAACACTTCATGAAGTTTTCAACACAATGATCACCACTAATAAAATAACTTATAAATTCAGCTAAATTAAAAATTAAATTTGAAAGCAAGGAATCAAATCAATATCAANAAAATCTTATCTGAATACTTAAAATGTTTGATACACCCAAATCAAAGGAATAAAACTGTATCTGAGGATTAGTACATTTTTGTTGGATAATTGAAGTTAAAAAGTAATGAAGCAAAAAGAGTAAAAGAATCCAAATGCTTTTGAATTTAGGTTAGCTATCAAAAGGCCATCAACATCCAATGTAAATTATCATCACTCACAGGTTGAAGAGCTGGAGATACTGAGTTTGATCCTGGTGGGCTGACAAAACGCAGCAAAGCAAATGCAGTCCTCTCATTTGTTGAAAACAGCTCTGACACTGTCCTCATCATCTGACCAGGATCAAAACTATAAGCTGTTCACATCATAAGACCAGGATCAAAACTATAAGCTGTCCACATCATATGACCCAGGATCAAAACTATGTGGCATTCCTACAATGGCGGTTAAAAGATGAAGCCCTAATAATGGGGCAAAGTGTTTGGCCATGGTAGAGTGTAATGATCATCAATCACTTATTAATCTTCACAGTGAAGAAAAAAATGAAGCAGCCACAGAAGGATTCAAAAGGAATTCAAACAAAAATTAATTAAAGAATAGATTAAATGCATTACACATGCAATGAGGCAAACTACATAGCTGAAGGAGATCCATTCCGTTAAGCATTTTATCTAACAAAGTGGGGGTAGAATATCGGTAAACAATTTTAAACCAATTCTTGCTCATGTTCTTCTATTAAGCTATGAATAAAGTTTAAGGACACACTTTTACAATCATCATAAGTTAAACTTGTAAGCCAATACAAAGCCTCTTTCTTTCTGTTTTTGTTTTCTAATTACAACTGTAAGCCTCATGCTATACTTTGTGGTGCATGAGGAGTTTTAAGTCGTTTAAATAAAAAATAAATACAAAGCCTCAAGGGAAAGTTTGCGTGTTAAGAATAAATTTGAATTTATCATTGACATTGGAGGTAATTTTGAAGATCACAAAAACTTTTATAAACTTTCAAATGATTTTAAATTCTTAATATAATATTCTTATAATCAAACAAGAATATACCTATATTTTCTGAAAAAACCATTAATTCAGAAAAAAATGTAGCTCACATTTAATTGAAAAGCTAAATGAAAATAAAAACAAACTAAAATGCAGATGTAAGAATTATAATTCATCTTTCACTCTGATTGTTAAATTATAAAGAAATATGTTTTTTTCTTCAAGGTGTAGATATAAAAGTTTACAAAAACAACTGTTTTATAAAAATTATAGATAATTGTTACAAAAGTGAGTACACACAATTAAGCAATACTGAGAAAGTTTACAAGTAGTAGGACTAATAAAAATTATTCATTAGAAATTGAATGACAGAAAAATACATCAAAAGAAAGGAGTAAACAAAGAAAATAGTGGATGATTATGCCTAAGAAGAAAAAAAACATGAATAAAACAGATAATTTTAAAAAAAGGCAGGGAGGAATTCTTATAAAAGATAGTAAGGAATTAGGAAAAACATTTTTTTCATAAATCAAACTAAACCTTTTTTTAAGGATGGAACACAAAATATTTTTCCAACATACATATTACAAAGTTGGCTAAAAACAATGATAATGTAATAATTTGACTTAAATATGACTTCACTAATTAGTAAGTTCCTTATTACTTCACTACTAGTTTTTTACTTCGAACTTAAAAATTAACTTTAAAGTTGAATTAGTAAATTTAGAGAACTTCGATTTTTTTCATTGTTATTCTAATTAATGAAAAAAAATTTTAATACACATTTCTATTATTGAAAAATTTGATCAAAAAAAAAAAAATTATTTGAAATTTCCAGGGAATAAAATTGATTAAAAAAATAATAAAAACTATCTTATAATGCATAAAAAAAGAAAAGAAAAGAATAAGATGTATGTTTTTACTAATGAAGAGAATAAAAAAAAAATTATGTAAAACTCACAAATCAAAAATAAAAAGTCCCGAAATAGAACTGATAAATTCAAGATATGAGGGAATTTAGGAAATAGCAACCTTTTTTCCCGGGTAAATTATTTAATGTAACTTTAACAAGGATTTTTTGTAGCATGGCTTTACATGATGAAAGGTGTTTGATAATTACAAATGTTCTGCAATATGGTTCAAAAAATAACTTTAAGGGTTAAATAATAAAATAAAAAAATTTAACTACTTAAAAATTTTTTATCGCTATTTGAACATAAATTGTTTGGCAGGGATTGTTCTATGACATATATGTAGAAGTTAAGAGAACTTTTCACTTGAAAATGTTAAAGAAATTAATCAGAAAAAGTAAATTTAATTGTTTTACTGCATAACTAGCTTATAAGAAAAGAGTGAAAAATATAATAGCTGTATTAATATTAGAGAAAAATAATTTTGAAAAAATTTTGAAGAATTGGATAGGTAACTGTTTTTTTTAAATAAATCATCAAATTTAACCATTTAACTATTGATAAAACTTAGGTCGAAACCTTTTAACAACAATCTAATAATGAAATCAAGAAAAAACAAATCTAAATTAATTACAAAGCAAAAATAACTTATGTACTATCAGAATGGAAAAAAACGCAAAAATATTTACAATTTGATTACAATGTACTAATTGTTACTTATCAACTGCAAAATAAGCAGTATATTAAATTTGAGTACATAACATGCTTTTACGACTTACTAACAGTTTTACATTGTTGCATTTACTTCATTACAAATTTAACATTATAGTGTTCACACTGATTGAGATGCATTAATAATAAACAGGTTCTGATACATTTACGAAAAAGGTAAAATAAAATAGTACAACCATAAGGAATAAAATAATGCATATTGAAAATGCAAAATAAACACAATATACAAGCATTGTCATTAAGAGTTCAAAATTATTTACACAAACTAGAAAGTAAAGATTTTTTTATGGATTCATTTAATAAATTCTTTAAAATTTGCAAATAACTATCAACGGAAAATTACTAAAATGGAAACAGTACAAAATAACTAACAATAATATAAAGAAAGAAAAATTTACCTTCCCATCCAACACCCTGCAAAGCTGGGACATTGTGTTTATTTACAAACTTTTCTTCTACTACCATCTGAGCAGCAACAATAATTTGAGCCATAATAATCAAAAGATCCCCTGAAAATAATAGTATTAGTACAGGTTTAGACCAGATTACGAAGTCCAATCCTGTCTTTTATGCAGTAGACATGAAATAATAATTCATCTCCAATATTACATTTTAATGTATTTAAAATAAAATATTAAAAGGTTACATGAAATAAAAACATATCTCGCTGATCATCGCGAGTGAGAAAAAATATCAGATGAGCAACATCTCGTGAACGAACTTGTTTATATCTAAAAAGAAACTACTGTTCACTTCAGTTCAAAGTTCGGAAGTAGAAATTGAAGTAGCAGTCTCAATCTCACAACTGCATCAGGGGGCAGTTGTCGTTTTTGAGTTTGACTCAGCAGTGAGGATACTGCATTAGCTTAAACAGTACTGTTTATAAAGCATTAAATTTTTTTTTCTTCTTTTAAATCTTAAAATAGAGAACTTGAACAATTAACTAAATGTACTTAAACAGTAAAGTTCTCAAAATTATGTGCAATATTTTCTATTAATTTAACAGACAAAAGTAAAGGAATTTATCAGTAGCAATTAAACTTAAGAATGCATGTGGTAATGCATGTTCAAAATTACTTTTATAATAAATGCAGTTATAATTTTATAGATGAAGTTAGCTTTTTTTTAGTTGAAAATGTATGTAGCATGTACTGGATAATGTTTTGCTCTATTCTTGCTTTCCGTGCAGATTTCTTTCATAGTAAAGATTTGTAAAATAAATAGTAGATACTAGTTTACAAGATAAAGGTGCATCCATTGCTATTTAAATTATTTCTAGTAATGAATTTAAAACCTGGTTTGCGTTGTTTAAGTATTTCAAAAGGTAATTTTCTATTTAACGAATTTTCCATATAACGAACTTATTACTGGGATTTAGCAACTTCGTTAAATAGAGGTCTGACTGAGTATATATATATATATTGATTCACTCAATGAAAGTACTAGAGATAAGAAATTTTTTAATTAATAAATATTTTTCAAAAGACATTAAATAAATTTTAAATGTTATAAATATTCTAAATAATTTAATTTTCTTAAAAATTATTTTATTATTTAACAACAACAATTTTTTTAACCAACAATAATTAAATTTAAATTGAAAATTTGAAGCTAAATTCATGTACATAAAAAAGACCAAAATGCATAAAAGCACTCACGAGAAGACCTGAATACACTTTAAAACATAATACAGATATTCAAATTTTCCCGAACGAAAATGTTGGAAATACAGGAACATTTAACAATACCAATGCTATAGCCAGATAAAACAAGACATTTTCAAAGTATCTACCTGTAATAATATCATTCATTGCATGTTTTTCAGTTTTGTCAGGATTAATCACATCTGACGCACCAACACACGCTAGACCAGCGATGACAGTAAAAATGCCCAACCACTCATAAGGTTTTAACTTTCTGCCTAAAAAGGCTACTGACAAAAGACCAGTAAATACAATAACAGAACCTAAAAACAAAAACTAAAATTACTCATTTACAAAAACACATTGCAAATCTTAACAAAATTAAATAACAATCAACATATTCCATGTACGAAAAAGTGCTCAGGTACTAGAAATTAATTCTATTAATGCAATCTGATTTAACCCTGATGAGATAACCCCATAATTAATCTTAACACTCTATTAAGACTTATTTATTATGCACTCAGTGAGAAACATAAATCTTAATTACAAAAATATTGTGCAAATTGCTGTGATTAACACAAACTTTCAAACACTACATAAAAATCAAATTAGCCCACATGTTTCAAGCATACTTTTTATCATAACTAAACATGAGTTGACTGATGACTTTCACATTTAGTTTAACACACACATTTGTATTAAACAAGAAAACATCTATTCAATTTTAATGCAGTATTTGTACAATTTTGTTTTTTTAATTGATTTTTCAATTCCACTTTCTGTTCATTGTACACAGATTTTTGTTAAAGATTAAGGTAAACAAACAAATATAATGACAATATCTAAAATGCAAACATTAGGTATACTCGCATTAAATTACATTTATTTGTTGATTTAAAATTATATTTACTTGTGATTAACTTTTTTTAATCTTATACTATAATACGAGGCCAAGTCGAAAATCGCCCCAGAATTAATAAACTCCGGTAAACTTGGGGGTCTGGGGTTTTTGGCCACGAGGAATCGATTGGCGCCGGTTTTGAAGCGCTACGGTCGAGCAGTTCGGNTTTAATCAGAATTAATATTAAAACATAAGAAAAGAAAATAACATAAATTTAAAGTTAAGAATTTCTATTTTAAGCTCAATGCAGGTGGGAATACACAAAACCCAGTTTCAAAACATTTAAATCAAATGTATTGCTAATTTAAATATGCAATCTGTTTCTCTCTACAAAACACAGCTTTATTTTCTTTCAAATGACATTTTTAGTCTATTTTTGATTGAAATGTACAGATTTAAAAACGTTGTATATAAAGGGGAGTCAAATGTTGCGACAAACTTTAAGGGTATAGGACACACATCAGGATTAAAACCAAATGTGAACCCCTGTTACATTATGTTTTTAAAGTTGAACATTTCAACAAAAAAGAACTACAATGTTATTTAAAAATATCTGTAGCTTTAGAAGGAAAACTAATTTCAGATTTGAAATTCCTACACCTACACCCTAATTAAGCTAAATCAATTATTTGTATAAATGCAATCAAAAATTTACTACCATTTCTAATGAAGAAATATTCAAATGAAATGTAAGAGAATTTTTTATTCATAATTGAGAATATTAAACCATTGTTTTTAAATCCTATATTTTTTAAATTAACACTTTAGTTGCAAATAAATTAATGTACACATTTGCTCAGATTAAGAACATCCTGTTATTCATTTTAGAAAGGAAATAAGAGAGCAATGCTTATTGTAGTATATATGGTTTTATCTATTCTGTAATATGTGCTCTCTTTCTTTTTCTTAAAGTAAATATAATTAATAGGATCATTAAAACTTGATCTTGAGATTGAAATAAATTTTGACTGATTCATATAAAATATAATATAGATTGAAATTTTTAAAAGAAATCATGCAGTTGTTTTATTAAATAACATATTAGTAAATATAATATTCCAGCCCTAAGCAAATACCGCGAATTCAAAAAGCACCACCACAACTTATAAAATGACAATGCAAGCTACACAGTAAAAAAGAAAAGAAAAATTATGATAGAGTTAAATGAGCTTTTATTCTCCATAGAAAAGTTTCAGAATTATAAATCTTTGCTATTTATGTATCGTGAATAACTTAAACTTAAGGATACGGTGGAATAAATCTTTTAGAACCCTCAATTTTATTTTCTTCTTCTTGGGCATAAGAGCCTATGACAGGCCAAGACAGTCGCAATAAGTTTTTGCATCTTGATCTATTCTATTCTGTGCATTGGCCTTCCAGTTAGTCAATTTTGCTTTACAATTGCAAAAAAAAAATATATTTATTTAAATATATTATGTAAATAAAAATTAATTTCTGACAATTTTTTAAATAAAATATTATAAATTAAGAATTGTTTAAGTTTACTTAATGCGTTACACATTAGAAGTGATACATAACTAAGTTGTTTTATTTAAAATATGACAATTGAAATTATTAAAAATGTGAGTGATTATGTTTCCATTATTCGTCCGAAATAAATATTCTGCGTTGAGCAGTATAGGCTAAATACCAAATATTTGTATGTTGCATCTCTAATTTAGTAGCAGCAATTGTTGAGCATAATCTTGTATCTATTTACAATTTAAAAACTTCTTGAAAAGGTTTTTAGCAATTTTTGCAATAACAGAACCCTGGTTGAAAGAATGTGACTTAACGCTTAATTTATATTCACAAATTACGAGTAGTTTTTTCACAATTTTTCAAAAACAGGACCTTTCACAAAATATCTGGACAGACCCCTGATAAATTAAAGTTTGTTAATGTGATTTTTATTTATGTCGCACTAGAGCTGCACAATGGGGTATTGAAGACGGTCATGGAAGCATCCCTGAGGATGATCTTAAGACATGCCATCAAAATTTTGATCTTCTGCAGAGGGGATGACTCCTCTGCTTTGGTAGCCTAACAACTTGCAGGCACGGTGGAGTACTTTAGAGTAGAACCGAGCACCCTTGGTCCCTATGCAGGCTCATTAAAGTGGTGCCCTTCCTGCTTATTAACCGCAGCCAGTGATGCTTGACTTAGGTGTTCTACTGGGAATCGTGTCTTTACGATCAGTCCTCCTGTGGGACACTTATAAACAGAAATTTAATTTATTAGCATTGACAGGGCTGAAATTAGCTACATTTTGAAGAAAAATGTCTCCTAGTACAGTACAGAACCCGTTATCCGGAAATCAGAAAACCAAAAAACCGGAACGAAATTCGATAAATTTTCCCGCCATTTTTAGAAGAAAAAAAAAAATTTCCTCATAAGATTTTAGGATTTTTCTTTCTTTTTTGAAAGATGTTTACCTTACCATCATTTTGGAAATAATCATTAGTGTATTACTCCATCGTTTTTTCTTCTTCTTAAGATTATTTCCAAAAAAAAATTTTTTTTAGTTGGGTTTAACAATAAAAAAAAACGACTTTTTGTAGCGACTCAGAAAAGCGGAAAAATCAGTTATCCGGAATAGCGATGGCCCCGATCGTTCCGGATAATCGGTTCCCTACTGTAGTAGCAAATTATATACTTTAATATATGATTCTTTGCTTAGTAAATTTGATTTAAAGTTATATTCCACAAATTGAATGATTCCAAAATTCATTCAGAAAGCCACACTGACCCAGTCTTTTGTGGTGAGGCTTTTAAAATAATGGCAAAACTAACCGGATTTCCAAAAGTTTCAGTTTTTATTGTCTACAACTCTATAAAATATTTCACAAAAACTTTAGTAGTCCTGAAATAAATCTCATATTACCTCTTAACATCTGAAAACTGGATGCATAGGTGAGATTCAATGCTATATACATAATGGATGTTCCAGTCATATCACAGAGAGCAGGAGGTAAAAAGATGAAAGGATTAAATTTTGAAGGTTGTTCACTCACTACAGATGGTTCAGACTTTCTTTTGCTGATGCAGAATAAAAGTTTGAAAGCCAAAAGACAGGAAAACTCTCCCAAAAACATTCCACATGCCTAAAATATTTAAATTATTACACTTTTAAAATAGTTTTCTTACAGATACTTGTGCAAAGAAAACTGAATTTAGAAACTGGGAGAAATAATGTATAAATAAAAATATGTTTTATACTAATACTACTTAATCAAAATTATAATAGTAATTTTTTTAGACTTTCTTAATATATAAAGATCGGTTGAGAGGTATTAACGAAAATTAATTTACATGCAATTAAAAATTATTAAGAAATAATTAAAGGAATTATTTTCACTATTAAGCAGATTCATTAAAACCATGTTATCCATTTTAAATATCTTTACAGCATCAAAATTGAGGAAAATTTCAAATAATTCATATATCAATAGTTATTGTAAGAACACGAAAATGCATAATCAATTCAACGCGATCCCAAATATTAGAACATATTTTTTCTCCCTTAAAATAAATACAAACACAATGTTATACAATATTCAAGTAATCTTAATAGGCAAAATTAAATTCCATTAATAGTAAAACAAATAAACTGTTTAATATTTGGATTAATTAATAAAAAATATATATTAAAGGAGACTGAAATTATTAAATCCTCTTTAAGGGGATAGTAGCCATTGTTTTCAACTAATAGCTACACAAGTACATTATACTTTAAAAAAATAAACAAACAAACCTGAACAAATGGGTGATTAAATTTTTCAAGTTTTCCAAGACTATTAACAGATTCAAGCTTGTCAGCCCATCTAAATAATATTAAACAAATATTTAATTGACATAAAATATACCATTAAATCTTATAAGAAATATGACATAAAGAAAAATTGGCATTTTGATCTAAAAATAAATGCACATTAGAAATCTTTTTTTTTTTTTTTTTTCAAATGTTGAATGCTAAGATTCACAACTATAATGTTATTCTTAATAAAGAGACAGCATTCATTTTTAAACAATAATCTAATAACACATTTTGCAAAATAATTAATCTATCTATTGCTACATAAGTTAAAAGAATATTAATAAAAATAAATGACGAACTAAAAAATTTTAATCAATTGGTATTCTCATATCAAGAAAATTTTTCAAAGCAATCGTAAATGTCAAAAATAAAGGAAGAATCTTTAATAATAATGTGATACGATTAACGATAGTTATTCTGCACCATTAATAAACAATGACAAGTTTTTAAGCAATCGTAAATTTACGAAAGAATCTTAATTATGTCAAAAAATTACGATGATTATTTTGCGCAATTTATAAATAATGACATATAATTAAACACACTCGTAAATTATTCTACAATATTACTAAATGATACTCTTAAAAGATCGGAACCATACTGGAATAACACAATTAATAATTAGCAATAATTTTAATTCAATTAACAAGTAGCCATTTTTTAAGAAAATAAGATAAATTAATGAAGTTTCATTTACCCTGTAGCTAAAATGTTTATAAATCCAGTAACAACAATCAATATAACTATAAGTCTTTGATAATTAATAATAATGTCATACGATCAACGTCAACTATACACCATTAATAAACAATGACATATATTTAAACAATAGTAAATTTACGAATCTAAATTAAGTTAAAAATTTAACGATGATTATTCTGCGCAATTTATAAACAATGACATATAATTAAACACACTCTTAAATCATTCTACAAAATTACTAAAATTACTCTTAAAAGATTGGAACCATACTGGAATAACATATTAAATAATCAGCAATATTTTTAATTCAAAAACAAGTAGCCAATTTTTAAGAAAATAAAGTAAATTAATGAAGTCTCATTTACTTCGTAGCTAATGTGTTTATAGATCCAGTAACAACCATCAATATAGCTAAAAGTCTTTGATAGTTAGTCCAAGCCATAGCAAAAGTTTGAAGTTCTTAAGATCTGTTTCCAAAAGTAAAAACGGATAAAAGAAAATAACTTTACACTTTTAAAATCCTTTTGCATCTAATTAAAAATTGTTGGGCACAACAATATTGAATAAACAAGATTATCACAGTTCTGCTTGCAACAATGACAACTAAGTATGAATTGACAATAAAATTTTGTCTAAATATGCGTGCTATCAAAATGTTCTTCCCATAAAAAAGCAACCCTTGTCTTATCACTATACTCGCCAAACCTTCAATTTCAGTTTCGAAACTCACGCCAAAATATCACGAGAAGAGAACTAATAATAGGTTTCGCTTACATGTAAAAGTATCTCTTTAAATTTTAAATTATGAATTAAAATTACTTTTCTGTCAAAAAAAAAATTTAACTTTTATGTAACCTTCTTTTTATGTAACTATGACGGTGAATTTTTAAAACAATAATTCAACTTTTTTTGGTACAACTTTCTTTTATAGTACTAGGAAATCAAGAAACATGTTTTATTTCAATTAAAACTATTTGATGTAAAACACGACCCTTGACATGAATTTGTAGTTAGTTCTACTATTATATTTTCCTTAAAAAAAAAGAATAAACTGTAATTTTTCATAAGCTTTTCTATGCAACCTGTTTTTAATGCTATCAAATCTATAATATTTCTAAAATTAATACGATATTTTAGAAATTATAATAATATTCATATAAATAAAGTATATTTCGTAATAGTAATCACGGTTATTGGTATATTTAAAGCTTTCAGGTTTCAAATAAGGAAATTTTAAAAAATGGCAGTTTTTAACTTTACTTGTGTATTTGGAGTAGCGCATTGAATTTTAATATAGGGGAAAAAAGGGAAATATTTTATTTTATAACCGACGTTGAACAGCCGACCCAATTTTTGCGCTTACGACTACCAATGTTCAACTCTGTAGCCTCTTAATTTTGAACCCAATCCAGAAAACACGGAAACTTCTGGATCAAGTGTTGGGAAATATTTGCCTTCGTATAGGGCTTTTTGACGGAACTAAGCCGCATTTGCGTTACATGGACAGGGAAACCAAGAAAACCACCCATGGTTAGCCTAAAGACAAGGGGACCCTAACCCATGATCCATCTACCACTGAGGATATTTCACGTCAACACTGTGGTCGGTGCAAGCCGGGTCCAGTCATCGCTGGGATTCGAACCCGGTTCAGGTCATCGGAAGGAGAACGCTCTTGGAGCCATCACGGCTCCAAGAGAAATATTAAACTTTTCCAAATCAAAATCATAGTAAGTTAACATTAGAAACCAGTTTGTTAGTCGAATGAAAACAAAAGATTTTTGCCTTCCATAGGAACCACTTTTTCATCTTCATCTAACAAATAATCTAGTTTTAATGATTTTAACTATTCCTTTCTTTGCTCAATTAATTAATCAATAATTATTCAGCTTTCGATAACTTTTATTACTTAAATATTGATACAAGACCCCTTAATACATATTTTTTTAATTTATTTTTTTTAAGGATTATAAAAAATAAGAACGATGATTTTGTGCATTCTGCATACACTGAATATTTAGTTCGATCCGTTTTGAAATAACTAATCTCCTCCTCCCTATCAGTAAACTTTGTAATAAATTACTTGATTTCAGCTTATTTTACTGATTTTCTGAGTTTCTTATATGTCCGTGAAATTGAAAAACTATTAAAAAAAAATTTACTATTTAAGAAGTCAAATTAAAGTAAAAGTGCATGATAATAAACTTTCCCTATCATAGGCTCATTCTAACAGGATTTAGAATTTTAATATCGATTAATGATACGATGAACTAAATGCAGTTGCTGAAATACATTTTTTGAGGATAAATTTTAAATGAATTTGGATTGAGTTCCTATAAAATTTATTTTACAGTCTAAATATCGTTTACACAAATAAAAGTAAATAAATAAAAAAAAAAATCATAATAAATAAAAAAAAAAATCATAATAAATAAATAAATATAAATAAAAATCATGAAGCTAACTTTTAATTTTTCCAAATTAGTATTAATAAAAAACTTCCTTCATAACAAAAACATTGTACTTAACTAGAACGTTATTTTCAGTGTCGTAAATTTTTGAAAAATTCAATTTATGAATTATAAAAACGAAAAAAACTATCTGAGGCCATCAATAAATAATGCCATACCTTTTATTCAATGTTTACCCCCTCCTCCCCATTGTCACAAATTTTCACACTTTACCAAACCCCTATATCCCTTTTTGTCCCTTTAAGCTATTCTTTTAACGACATTTGCGAGTATAACAACAATAATAATTAGGTGTGTACTTATTTGGAAGAAAAACAAATTTAACAAAATATATAAAATTGATTATTTTACATTTTTGATTAATGTGCTTATTGATGCTCATAATGCTTGATGCAATAATTCTTATTGATTCAATAATGCTTATTGATTCAATAATGCTTATTTTCAATATTTTTATGTGGGAATCACTTTTTGTTAACCCTCTCTCTCGCTTTTCACAAAGAGTCACAATTTTTTAGACCCCTCCCTCCCCCAAATATGACACCATTTATGGACGAGCCCATACCAATTCCATGTCTTCATAGTATCATAGTACTGAAACAGCAGAATTTTCATTCTATCATGAATTTATGAATTTATCACCAAAAAGACGAAAGAGATCATTTCTGGCAATCACAATTTCGCGCCAAGCAGCTGACAAAACCACACTCCCCGAGTTCATTCACTGACTCAACATCACATGAATTTCTGACTGCTTAGTTTTGAATATCAAAGGAGAAATTATGCTGTCACAATAAAAAATTTTATATATATCTTACAAAGAATTATTACGCGGAATAGTTTTTTGGTTACGTCATTCCGTTTCACCCGAAATAAACATATTTAATACTCCCCATTACTTTGCTATCGTTTTCATCTCTGAGTGCATTATTAAAGTTTTAAAAAAATAATTGAAATTATTAGATTAGTGAGTGATAAAATGTTAGTTTCTTTAATTATTATTATCCCACTTTTGCAAAATTAGAAGGTTGCTCCTCACCCACTTAAGAATTTTTTGACTTATCACTCACCTTTTTTCAAACAGTGTCAGTTATAACACTTGGCGAGTGATAACACTTGGCTCACCTGACACCGGTGTTCCTTTTATATATTTTTTTCTGGCGCTCTATTTACAAGTAAAAATATATTTTTAAATTTTTTAATAATAAAAAAGAGACTGATAGTTGCTAAAAACATCTGTTAGATTACCCCAATTATATTTTCACTAAAATATAAAACTAAAAAAGATAGTTTAAAATTTTTTTTCTTTAAAATTCAAAATTTTATAAATAATTGATTTTTAAATTAAAGAAATTTTAATGACGAATAATTGTTTCTCTTAGATCTAAACCTACGCAAATAAGTGCAAGTTTGAAAAAATATTAAGAAGGGAACCTTGTTTGGAAGATTTTACTTATAACGCAGAAAAAGACATCAATGTTTCATGCTGCATTTCATAACAATAAATTACTAAAATGACAAAAATAATATTTTTCACTTATTTTAACCTGAATTAACAAAAAATAATAATAAAAGAATGAAAAAATATGTGGCATAAAAATTTTGCGTCAATGGATTGAAATGGAAATACGTAAAAAAAAATAAAGTGTGTTTCGAAAAAATAAATCAAAATAAATAAATTTTTAAAAAAAATCAAGATAACATTAAAAACAAAAATCCTAGACTAATTTTAAATAAGACCTCATTTCTTTAACTCTTAATAGAAAAATATTTTTCATTTTTTTTCTTCTTTTTTTTTTAAATCTTTCTATCTCAAAAATTTGTTTAAGAAGACGGATACTTGAATGGTTGGAATTTCATCACTGATTGTATAATACTTTCTTTATAATTGTGTTTTAGAACTGTCTAAAACTTCAATGAAATAAACAAATTTGAATTATTGGTATTTATGCATATAACGTACTGTAAATAAACGTACTGGTCATTGATGTATATATAGGCCTTGGGTGGGATAACTGGAAACATGCATTCACCGTAAATACTTGTATAAATTAAAAAAGTTGTATTAACAATATATCCTACACATCTTATGATTCCGCACCTCGCTATCTTTTATTTTAAAATTATTTGTAGTAATAGAGAACAAAACTTATATAAATTTTCACAGCTGCTTTTATTTTTATTTGACTTTAGACTCGATGGAAAATATTACAACAATTAACATATAATTAAACCCAGAGAAAAAGTAATTTTACTCCAAGTGTTGTAACATTTTATCTCAATACTTTAAAAATAATGGAATTACATGCGTATGACATATTAAGAATAACTAAACATAAATTATATTATTACTAGCCGCTCCTAACGAGACTAAAATTGTTACTATGTAAAGAATAAGGGCCAACAAACAACAAAATATTTATATTTAGAACTTCAATAATACTTGTGAGTTCCTGATTAGGTTCGCAAATCTAATCAGCATGAAGTTGGATCTTTTATTACAATTGACTTCTCTTGTAAATGCATTCACTTGTCACGATAAGAAATAATTTCTCCCCACAATTATCAGTGCTACAAACACATGATAATGATGATAAACTGTCACGTTATTTGATTTTATCATAGGATTGACTCTATAACCTTTCTTTAATGGGAACAAATCATAAAAGACAAATGCTTAGGAAACAAAAAAGAGTCTATTTTAATAAAAATTTATATGAAATTGATCTCGTTTGCTATTTCAAACAAGCAAACGATAAATTAAAGTTTAATAAATGTAGAAAGTAATAAAATCTGATTATTTTTTTATCTTCTGATTACTTTAAAAAACAAAAGCATTCCTCACTTTGGAAAATTCAAAGTAAGATATTATTTATCATTTTTCCAATTTAGCACCTACAAGAAACCTGTGCTTAAAACGTAGGAACATGATGAAAATAATAAAAACCTTATGCCACCCAAAAAATCGACTATTTCAATAATTTTTTTCTGTATAACATAAAAACATAATGGTCTGACCAAAGAACTTACACAGTTCTCCATTGCTATTGGTGCATTTTTATTGACCGGAAAATCACATGATAGATCCAGTTTACTCACATAATTTTTTGATTGTCATCAGCTTAAGATTAATAAAAGTCATAAAGATATTGTTTTCCTGTAAAATATTTTTGTATCCCAAATTTAAAGGTATAAACCAATAATATATATTATTTTTTTA